GAGAACTCATGAGGGATCGGTTGAGAAATTTAATTTGATGTGGCCAACAGTGTCTAGTTCAGAAAGGAGCAATTTTAGATAAGAGAGAAGAGATGTTCCATGTTAGTTTGATGGAAACTCATTGTGGTCCCCTTTGCAGACTTCTTGAGATCTCACGACACATTTCCCTAGAATTGTATGAGCTTTTTTGCTTTGTGATGTATTACTGTTTGATGACGAGAACATCTTTATGTGTACCCAGTATGGGATGAGTGGAAGATGTTGGTTTAGGAGTCTATCCGTTGAGCATGGGGGATTTCATAGAAGTAAGAACCTCGTTAATGCTGGAGAGAGAGGATTGTTAAATATGTTTATTTTTGGATAAAGCTGGAGAGAATCTTGAAAGAGTAGAGAGAGGAGAGATTCCTTTTTCAGAAGAGAGGATCACTTACCACCCAAAAGTAACTGTTCTGCACCTTATCTCTCCTTGTGGTCTCTCTAAGAAAAAATGAGTTTTACCTTGCGATTCAATGAGAAATCTCGGGCCATCCTTATTGAAACTCGGGCATTTACCCGGTGAAATAGTCCTAGTTCTTCTAAGTAAACTTGAGGTTGTGGAATTTGAGCTCTTGAACTTAGAAAATATGAGATCCACAAGAGGAAAAGATGTTTGGGCTTCAAAAGGTATGTAACCTCTTTCAAATCCTTGTGTTTTTGTGCGTCTTTTTTGTGTTCTATTGGGACTCACCCACAGTTTCCAACACCTACACTTGGTGGTAAAATTCTTTACCATAGGGTTATCTGGGATTGTCACCATTTGTAGTTCTTTTTGTTCAAGAAGAGGAGGTTGGTTGGGAGATGGTAACTCCCTTTCCCATATGCAGGGGACGAGAAAAGGGGACCTAGTCCTCACATCCCTCTTTATGTTCTTGGTTTTAATGTAAGGATGGTTGCAGCCCTAGACCAATCTGCTAATGCCGTGTTTGCTAATTGTCTTTTTGCTGCTTAGGAGGGGAGATCACCAGCCTCATCATCGCCTCCCATTGTGTGGTAATGGTGGGTGGGTGGGTTGGGTGGAGGGGGGCAAGGCCCATCCCAATAAAGCATTGAGATGGGGCAAAACTGAAGAGGGGGCCCTGCATCCTGAATTTGATAATTCATTTTCAATTGTACTGAGGCTATTTCTCCATTGGGCAACTCTATCTAGGATCACCAAACTATCCCAAATGGATACAAAATCAGTGACCACAGATCCCTCACAAATGAGCAATCGATAGGAGGTAGTCCATGGACTCAGCTTCCTCCCCTAGCTAGTTACATTGACACTTGTGTTAAATATGTTTTGATGCATTTGACGAGGACACGCCTAACACTCATCTTGACATGTTAGACATGCCATCATATATGGGTAGTGTGCCTGACGTTGTGGCATTTCTTAAATGAATTCGTGTTAGACATGCATTTCTTGGCTGGCCTACCATTAATATACGTGGTACCATCATGACTCTTGGCATAACTAGAGACGTGTCTATCACTTAGACAAGTGTGTGTATAACTCCTGACTTGTATCTTTCATTTGGACATGTTTCGTACATATGGATTCATGTGTATGAGATATTGTATATATAACCATGATTTGAAATAAATGCTTTATATTTAGTTATCTTTTAATTAATTTTAAAGAAATTTATGCTAATGTCCCCCTAAATTACCGTTATTTAAGAAATCCTCTCAAAAGTTAGGTTTCATGTTCATAATTATTTTTTTTCAATTTTTTTTATTTTTGTTAAATCATCCCTACTTTGGACCTTGAAGGTTCGAAGTTTAATCTTGTTCTGCTTATAAACATAATTTAGACCTTAAGGTCCAAAGTTGTTTTGAACATCAACTTCGGCCCTTCATGGTCCAATGTTGGTTTTGTTCACAAAAACATCAATTTCAAACCTTCAAGGTCTGAAGTTGGTTTGAGACCTTAAGTCAGTCTTTTACTTGACATGAACATCTTAAATGAATGCATGTGTATTTTCCTTAGGGTTTCTTGTTAAAACTACTAAGGTAGCCTTTATCATGTACCCTATTGTGAGCTAGTGCATTTGATGTGGAGTTGTTTGGTAGGTTTTTTAAGGAACAACCATTAACGTGCAAAACCTTGATAAACCACGTTCCCAGGGCATTTTGTTGGAACAAAGCCAGTAAAGGGTCTCAAACTTCGACTTTGGACCTTAAAGGACCCAAGTTGATGTATGTAAACAGAATGAACTTAGGACCTTGAGGTCTAAAGTTGATGTTTGGAAGAACTTCAGATCTTCAAGGTCCATAATAAGCTTTCATCATCATCATCATCATCATTCGAGAATTATTCCAACTATTTGGGGTCGGTTACATTAATCCTGTTCCACCATTCTACTCTATCAATGGGCATACCCTCAGTAAGGCCATCCATAGTTAGCTTATGAGCGGGGGAAAAAAATTGAACTTTGGACCTTCAAGGTCCGAAGTAGGGGCATTTGAGGAAAATATAAAATATGAAAAAATTTCATCATCATCATTGAAGCCTTTTCCCAACTATTGGGGTTGGCTACACGAATCCTGGTCAGTCATTCCGTTCTTTTAAGGGTCATACCCTCAATGAGGCCATGAGTCCCCTTATCCTTTCTCACTGCTTCCAACCATGTCATTTTGGGTCTACCCTTTACCCTGTTTGAGCCTTCCGCTTGAGCTAACTCCCACCTTCTAACAGATGTTGTACTGGGTTTGCGCCACACATGGCCATCCTATCTAAGTCTACTTTCCGTCCTCTTATCGTCTATTGGTGCCACACTTAAATTCGCCCACATGTATTCATTTCAAATTCTGTCACCTCTTGTCTTTTCACTCATCTGTCTCAACATCCTTATCTCAGCTACACTCATTTTATGGGTATGTTATTTCTAAATAACGATAATTTGAAAGAAACTGGTGTAATTTTTTCTTAATTTTATATAATGTATGGACATTTTGATATTTTTACAGACTTGTGTCCGACACCTCTTTATGAGCAGCTGTATTAGAGACATCCTTGTCTTCTTCAGACACGTGTCCATGTCCTCGTGATGTAGGTTCCAATAATACACATATTGGGCTGTACATGCCCTCCCTGTAGATGATTCATTGTAAGAATATGATCTCCTCAGGCCACCTAACTGCACGAGATCGCTCCCATCAGGGCCTGTATCTGCCAGACTAAACAGCCAGGGGGTATAGTGTAAGCGAAGCAAAAATATTGTGTTGAGAATTCCTTTGGTTATCCTTCACATTTGCTTTCTCTCCTTTATCTCAATTGGGATGTAGAACTTGCCCTGGCTGTCATGAGTAGTAATCTCTACTCTCCCATCTAAATTGTAGGTCCCAATACACAGTACTCCCAACTCCCATAAAACACCCTATGTCATGGATATCAGGATGCTCAGTGACACCAAAGAGACTGGGGACTTCCATCTTCTCCACTTTACATCAAGTGGAGTGCCAAAGCTGTAATGATTGCTACGAAGTGTGAATGAAGAACAGTGATGGCAATATCATTGTAACATTCTCTCTGAATTGTTTAAAGAATCAATATGGAACCTTTGCATGAGTGTGTTTGATTGTAAGGTTACTGTCACATATGTAAACTATTTGCTACCATTAATTGTCAAAAATTACAAAGGAAAAACTGGTAGTGTATCTTTCTTTAAAGAGCCTTTGAACATCTCTTTGACCTATGATCTTGGCACTAATGTTTGAATTCCTGAACACTTTGTTCCTTAGTTTTTGAAAAGTAGGCAACTCATACCTACTAGTGACGGATCTATTTGAGTTTTACTGTACCTCTTTGCAGTATTGTGTTTGTGGAAGAATTCCTATATGTATGTATTCGAGAAATCTACTTATGAATATTTATAATAGCTAGTCCGTAATGAACTTCTGGAACCAGAAATACTGCCATGTAAAAGCTGGCAGTTGAGCAACTTAATTGGAGGAGAATACACAATCAGTAGTTTTGCACATATCATGAAGATTAAGTTTCTGCTGTGCGTTTGTTATCAGATTAAATGAGATCCTTGATTCTGAAGGACAGTAACATTAGTATTTTTGTTCTGGATTCTGTGGTATGTCTTGTGATTGTTGTGACTATGTTGATGTGTTCATGATCTTTCACCACAGATTCTTCCATGAACTCCCATTATCGTTGTATTATGTTCTAGAGAATAAAGTTATATTGCTCTTTCCTATATGTATATATTCTAGAAATCTAGTTATGAATATTTGTAATACGTAGTATGTAATGAACTTGTGGAACCAGAAATACTAGCACATAAAAGCTGGCAATTGAGCAACTTAATTGGAGGAGAACACACATTCAATAGTTTTGCACATATCATGAAGATTAAGTTTCTGCTGTGCGTTTGTTATCAGATTAAATGCGATCCTTGATTCTGAAAGACGGTAACATCAGTATTTTAGTTCTGGATTCTGCAGTATGTCTTGTGATTTTTGTGACTATGTTGATGCGTTCATGATCTTTCACCACAGATTGTTCCATGAACTCCCCTTATCATTGTATTATGTTCTAGAGAATAAAGTTATGTTGCTCTTTCCTATATGTATGTATTCGAGAAATCTAGTTATGAATCTTTGTAATACCTAGTCTGTAATGAACTTCTAGAACTAGAAATACTAGTACGTAAAAGCTGGCAATTGAGCAACTTAATTGGAGGAGAATGCACATTCAATAGTTTTGCACATATCATGATGATTAAGTTTCTGCTGTGCATTTGTTATCAGATTAAATGAGATCCTTGATTCTGAAAGACGGTAACATTAGAATTTTAATTCTGGATTTTGCAGTATGTCTTGTGATTCTTGTGACCATGTTGATGCATTCATGATCTTTCACAACAGATTGTTCCATGAACTCCCATTATCGTTCTATTATGTTCTAGAGAATAAAGTTATACTGCTCTTATGTTTCACTAATTTTATTTTCTTACTATGCCGTGTAGGGGTTGATTATTTATCAGTTGCTGCATTTGATGATCTGATTCCTTCACATTTGGTCCTTCTAAAAAGCAGGGTAAGTGACTAAATCCACATAAATTGTGGTGAACTTATGCTGTCAATTCTGTTATACTATTAAGTCCCTCTAGCTTTGGTATATTTTTTTAATATCTAATAAGAAAATCTCAATGAGTTCCATGCATCACTATTCCTTGCGTTGGATAATATTTATCATATCAGTTGCATACTTAATCTGGTGTAATGTTTCAGGATATTATCGTGGTCGAGGGCCTCAAATTAGACAATGTAAAGCCTGGCTTATACTCATTGCACTGCTTGCACCTCCGATTAATAGGTGCAGAGGGATCGCCAATACGATGCATCCTGATTGAATGAGACTCCTACGAGTGTTATGCAGTTCAGAGAAAACATATTTAGCACGTGCCTCTCCTTGGTGGAACTCCTGACATATATAAATCTTTCACTTTTGTATATGGCAACATTTAAATGTCTTTGATGGTTTGTGAATTACAAAAGAGTAATAGATGGACACGGTTTCTATTAATCCATGTAGAATGAGTCCTCTTAAAAATCTATTTTTGAGATGGAGTTTTGGACTTAATTTTTAATGACATGTAATCTCTAATATAGAGATCCTGAATATAAAAAAAATACATAAATTTTGAAAATTAGAAATAATAATTTTATTAAAAAAACATTTGGAATGTTAGTTTCAATTGTTTTTAGATGGAACACCTATTTGCATCCATTTTTAAGATGGATGTTTTATATGTTGGGAACCGCAAATGTAGAAATGCAGTCCTCGCGGCATGAAACAATTTTCCTTAATAGATTTTACGAATCAATAAATTTTTCACTTCTTGTCATTCGTGTTACATTGAATGAGAGTAATCTGATGCACCTGCATATGCAAATCCAGTTCTAGAAACTTGATGTCTGAAATAGGGGCTCGTTTTAGGGCTTGATACATTTTTAGCTGTCTAGCCTCTTTCAAGCGTCGACTCATATTTTTATAAAATAGGCTTAAAATTAGGACAGCTAGGGGAAAAAGGCATTTAGTATAGCAAATGGAAAAAATCTGCTCCCATAGATATGGTATGTATCTTGGAACTTAGGTTTTTATCTTTAGATATTAGGTGTGGTTTCTATAAGGTTGAAACTTTAAACAATCCAATTAAGGCGCACTTTCAAATTTTGTCATAACATATAATTTTGGTATAAAAAATTCTTAAGATTATCTGAAAATCTACTTTCATATCTAATAATAAAATTTTAGACTAAAAAAATGGTTAAAATCAAGTAGATCTATAAACATATGAAAATCTTGAAAATGGATAGTCTAGATTATGTGTTGCAAGATGCATTATTTTTGGGACTCAAAAACTTTTTTTTTTAACATTAAAACAACATTTTCCAAATTTATGAGGTGCATCTTTAATTCTACATTTTTAAGGTTGTAACCTTATATTATATAAACTTTGCACCTTTAGCATTTAAACATTAGCATGAAGTTTTTTAAGGTACTTTCGTGAATATTGCCCCGCTTTTAGCAGCTTTGCCCTTCTTGTCGGAGTAAAATCTTGTTTGGGCATCTAATAGGTTTAATACTTCTTATGGGAGGTTTAGCGATAGAATTAAAATTTGGGATAAATATGTTAACACTTAAACCAATCAAGCCCAATGGCACACCTAAAAGGGCTGAGAAATGCTTGGTTTCTGTTTTAGTACAGGTTCCCTAGATTTAGCCCCATGCCTTCCATGTACAAGCTATGGTTGTTTATTACTAAGCTAAAAAGCAAGTGACGATATGTGGTGGACAAAATTATTTTTAATTTTAAGATTTATTCATTTTTGAAAGATGTATATTAGAATTTTCATTTGAGGGTTTTTTAGTTTTTTGGGGATTCTAGAGCTCTTATTTATTTTTTATTTACATCATGAGTACTATTTAGAATTATTGTTCATGAGTACTATTTATGGGTACTGTTCACATGAGTAAAACTGTCATTATAAATTTTAAGTTTAACTTAGGATATATGGGTCGATGTCTTATTTGTTTGGATACTTTATGTACTTAGAACATTGGATTATAATATTAAGAGGTGTGTGAGACCTTGAGAGGCTCCTTCGACATGATTTTTAAAAATTAAAAGATATAAAAGTTTAGGCTTTTGAAACCCTGGCTTAAGGTATGGAGAAGAAACGTTAGGTTTATTTGAATTATGTTTGTGTTTGAATTTAGTTTTTTGTTGATTTTACTGTTCGTTCAAATTTTTCTGCATCAATATGACAAAATTAAGGGCAAAAATGATGGTTAAAATGTGATCAATATAAAGTTCAAACCAGTAAATTGTCCCCTCAATTGTTGAAAATGGACCACTGTTGCAAGTTCTTCCTCCATTAGGCGCTCAGTTTGGCTAGGTAATATTCATCTCAACTGTCAGTTAACAACCCCTGGTTGATGTCATGTACATTTTACTATTTCTGAAGTGCATGGACCATTATATATGATATAAAACGAAAATGGGAAAGTGGTAAAATTTCATGTGACTTATTCTCTCAAATTGACCGTTCAAATTGGACTAAATTTCGTTAAATGGAAGCCTTTAGAACAAAAATATTAAAAAAAAAAGTAAAGAAAAAAGTTAGTTAAAGTGTGTCAATATTTTTTCAACGTTTTATAATTAGAAGGGGGGCATCTCTGTCTCTCCGTCTCTCTTTATACATGTGTGTGTGATTTCATACAACACTTGTATAATAATATAATGAAACAATTTTTAAAAATCATGTTAAGGCGGTTTATTTGAGCCAACTATACACACTCTTTTCATTCTAATAAATAATTACTAAAAAACAAAATTTGAAAACATAGACCATCCATTTTGGTAAGATGCTTAGATCTAGGCCATATAATTTTTTTTTTCTTTTTAAATTTTTTTAGATGGATTTATTGTCATTGGATGAGCAATATTAAAAACTAAAATATAATTTTGAGTTTGTAAAGGCCTAGATATTGAAATTCACCAAATAGATGATCTAGATTTGTTGTTGGAGGGAAACTCATTTTGATCTAGGGTGCAAATTGTATTTTATTCTTTTGGGGATTAATTATTAGGGTAAAGAGAAGGATTCTGCAATTTGTGGGGTTATCACAAATATGATTTTCTAAAACTATACTAATAGTGAACTTAATAATTTATTACTCTAAAACTTTTGACTATTAAGTAGTTCATGTATTTTAGAAACAGTATTTTTATTTTCTTAAAATCTATCCAAAACTCAATTTTAAATTTTAAAAAATTATTTTGACTTTGTGAATAATATTTCAAAATAAATTTAAAATTACAAACATGCCCATTCTGAGTGGATAGAAACCAAGTCCAAGGACTTATACTTTAACATTTGTGGCAAACTCTGCTATATAACTCAATTTCCTTGCGAAATTACAAAACTTATTGTATCACATGCCCTCAATTACAGCTACATAAGAGAAATTACAACCATCAAACACTTTCTATAGAGTTATTACAATGAGGATACAAATCAATGAGTCACTTGTCAAAACAACACAAGTCTACACAAGGAGATCAAAAGTACACAACACTTGTAACTAGTGCTATTAAGTACACCACTTGAATTGAGAGAGAAATCCCATTTTCTCTCCTTTCTCTCTCATCATGGGGCTTGAATTGAGCTTTGATGGAGTTCAAGTCTATCTCTCTCACTAGGATTTGTTCTTCATACTACACTATAGGCTTTCCTCATATGATGAGAGAGAAAGGAGTGAAGAGGGTACGACGTCCCACCTAAAGTGAGGCATGCCATTTTAAGAGAGAGAAAATAAGATCGTATGAGAAATTAGAGAGTAAGGGCATATTTATAGCTTCCAAGTGTAGAGATACTTCTAAATAGAAGAATCTTGGCCACTTATATTATTATTTTATGGCTATAAAGAGAAGCTTGATCCTAACCTTCCATCTACCATCATGCCATCTTAATGTGTGGTTGAGATTTAAACACCTTTATTCTTTATTTTCTATAATTCACTCAAAATGCCCCTTGTATGAAAAAACATATGATCTTTTCAAATAATTAAACTAAAAATCAAGGTTAAGAGCATACCCTTAAGGTACTTAGGCACATATCCACCAAAAATTCAAATTCAAAACTCTTCTTCTATTTTGAAAAAACATGCGTAGCCAATCATTTGGGGCCACATGTGTAAGTTGGTTAAACATAATTAATATATTCATTAGGCTTTCTATTAAATATCAATTGAAAGGCCTCAATCCATGCCCTTTCTAAAAGACCTCATACATGTGTACATAACTCATTTCTCACACAAAAAATATGTACCTAAATTTATTTTTCCAATTTTCAATCCACAATATTTCATAATCCACATTGGGCTGATGTGGAGGCCCCCCATAGCCAAGTGAATATCCATTGGTCATTTGGGGTGTCTTGTGCAGATCCCAAAGGGTATGTCCTTGATTGTCAATTTAATTAAACAATTTTGAAAATATATTTTTCTTGAATTTTTTTTTGAAAAATCTCACAAAATTCCAAAACATACAAATCATTCTACATCAAAAGAAATCATTTTAGCACAATTTATAAATAATTTCAAGGGGAATTACGATCTTATGGAGCTGAATTAAGCATCAAAGCATTCCACTCGGTTAGACTCTAAATCCAAAGTCATCTTCTCGGTATGACCCAACAAACTCTTTTTTTTAGAAAACGGCATGAAGTTTCATTACATAGAGGAGCAAAGCTCCAAACTTACATAGAGGAGCAAAGCTCCAAAACACTAGAAAAAACATATGAAGAAATAAAAAAGAACTCCCCATTTCCACAGAAGAACCGACTCAATTGCTCAACACTACAAACCTAAACCTCGATGGCACAAACAAAATACAAGCTTTCTAAACCCAACAAGACCACTCCAAAAGCTATCAGAGACAACCACCTCAAACCCGACAACCCCATCCTCTCTAAAATCACACATTCACACATATCCCATCTGCAAAAGGCTCAAGGGCCAAGGTTAAGATGGTGCACATGCAACTCTAAATCGGCACCCAACATGGCGACGATGAGAACGACGGCAGCAGCTCACAACCAACGACAAAAAATAGGGCAAAAGATAGTAAGAAAAAAATAGGGGCAAAGGAAAGAGAGGGAGGAAGTCACGATAGAGATCTAGAAATGAGAAGAGGGAAAAAAGAAGGACAGGATGGAGAAGTCCTGCTCAAACATCCCCAAAAAATGCACCTGACTATTGGTAAGAATTTGTATGACCCAACCAACTCATGGCCCACAATGTTAATCAGAAGCTCATGACATAGCTTATCAAAGTTAAACCAATGAGTAACTCTAAACCTCCAAGTTCTAGTGGATTTTAGGTGTACCCCCAAGATGAATTGCACTTATATGGTACGGGGGTTCCTCTCTTGGCACATGTGCATATCTCTTCACAGTGAATCCCCTGGAAGAGTGGCTTCCCATTTTGTAATTGTTAATGTACATGCTATAAGAATGTTCTATTAGTTAATGATTTAGGCTAATGTCCTCTCTAAGCCCTT